GGGGACGATTTCTTCGGACCATGTGGAGAAACTACGTCTTAATGCCCCGAGCATACGAAGTACCACACGATACAATTTTTCTGTATTTTCTAGTGATTTCATATCATGTCACGAAAGTACTCCTAAGTCTCTAACAGATGTTTGTTGTGGTGGAGTAATTGGCCGTCCAAGGTGTATGATCGAGTGGTTGGACGTCTGGTGATACTGATTAACTCCGACTTGCTTCCGTTAAGAGGGAGCTGCATTTCTGTCGACCACGGTGAGAGTCGATGTAAGTCATGCTGGAGGCGAACGCAGTCGCCCTGGTTCTCAATGATCCTCCAGATTCTTAAATCATCTGCAAATCGGGCACATAGTGACTGGAGCTGCTGCGGATGATTGTTAACATGAATAAAAAATAATACTAGCCCCAGTACAGTTCCTTGAGGCAAGCCACTGGTCGATAGCAGCCAGTCTGTCAGGTAGTCATTGACCTGTAAACTTTCGTCCCACAACAAACTCTTGTAACCACTGAATTAACGTGCCACCGATTCCGTAGGTCCTCAGTTTACGAAGGAGCACCTCGTGGTTCACTCTGTCGAACGCCTTACTACAGTCGATGTACACCACGTCAACATCTTTCTGTTCATTGAGAGCTCGTACCCACTGGTGGTTTGTATACATCGTTGGTGGTACAGGATCGCCGTTTCGTAAAGCCGTGTTTTGCTGGCGTCAATACGTCTATCGATTCGAAGAACGACAGCAGACACTTTTTCACAACCTTCTTGAGAACTTTGGATAATATCGAAGTCAAACATATTGATCTTTAGTTCTCTATATTACTCGGATCACCACCCTTGGGAGGCGGTCTCACCATCGAGCCTTTCCAGTCGTTCGGGACAGATCCTTGAGAGATTGATGTATTGAATAAGTTTGTCACAGCTGGTGGGATGATAATCGATAATGACTTGAGTATTAGTGCGTGAAGTCCGTCTGGTCCGGGGGGCTTTGCACCATCGAGGTTGACGAATAGCTGATACACCTCGACTGCATCACATTGTAGCCTGTTGAACAAGACTGGCGCAACCTGTACCGGTACTGGAACAGCCGCCGGTTTACTGGAAAATACAATGAAGAAGTGCGAAGTGAACGCGTCTGCTTGCTGCGCGCTTTAAATGAGCGTCTGTCCGTGCAAGCTCTCTAAGGCCGGTTAGTTGTTTCCAGGTTTCAGTTGACGTTTCAAGTAGGCAAATATTCTTTTGGGTGTAGTTGTGGCCGAGGATGGTAGCTCCTCTTCGAACTGCGGGCTTTTCTTGATCTTTGCGGCGTTACATTAGTTACGCTGTTTTTGTACACCCCGTAATCTTCATCACAACCCGAGATGATGTATCTATCCCAAAGTTTGCGACGCCGTCGCGCTAACCGCTTGTATTCCTTATCAAACCAATACGGTTTGACAGGTACGACTTTGGAATACAACCGAGGAACGAACCGAGTACATAGCTAGTTAAGCTTCCTCTTCATTAACGGCCAACAGTCCTCAAGCGGCGCATCCTGTGGTAGTATCCAATCAGTCTGACTTGCGGTTTGGACGAGCTCGGCTTCCGTTGCTTGTCATATCATAACGGTAGTTCTATGCTTGCCACAAAGGAGTAGTGGTCACTGTTTGCTAGAGGTTCGAGGACTGACCTCTTTCAGCTTTTACTCGCAGGTTGTAAACATTTGGTCCAGATAACATGCTGAGTGCGGAGTTGTACGCGTCGGTTGGATGACACGTTGCGTTGCCCCGATTTCAATAGTCATTTTAGTGAATTGAGCCTCAACCTTACCATGACCGGGAAGAAGCCGAACGTGACCAGATTATCTTAGATAAATTTAGGCCTGTATGGTTTGGCCGTTTGCCACAATTTGATCCGTCTTTTTGTGGACTCGGTTTCTAGGTACCACGAGAAATATACCTTATTATTATGGATAATCAAACCTAGTAAAACACTCATTAAAATGCTGTGAATAATTTAACTTCCTTGTGGATGAACTCCTCTCTGACATACCTACTAAATTTCTACTTTGCTTTTCTACTCACGGCGCAATACCTGATTGGAAGGTCATCATGCGGCAGCATAATAATTTACTTGCAACAAGCAGCTATTTTGAAATTACGAAGTGTCACTTGACAAGGGGATCTGGAAAGAGAGAAAGGCACTCTAAGGATGTGTAACAATGAATACGGCCGGCCAGAATCGGTAGCATCCAAGGTCCCAACATTGTGAGCCGTTACAATGAACAGTGGCTTGTTGCGGGTAATAAAGTAGCGGCTTGACATATCCCCTAGAATAGTTAGGGTGGAAACGAATAATCAAGTGGTATGTATGCCATCAGTTTAAGCCCCTATCGTTTTGAATATGCTGTTGCAAGACGATTGCGTGAAATGGTCATTGAATGTTTGCAACTAAATCACTATGGCAAGCAGTCATGGTTGATGTTTTTGTGAAAAAGTGCGATGACAACACCCACTCATAACCCGCTTCATAGTATCCATGTGATATATGAATCCAGTATTAACATTTTATCAGCACAGTTTAAGTAACGAAGCGCTGGTATCTAGGAGCAATATCCAGTCACTATTTGTGAATACCCAACGTGACGAGGGAAACAACGGAGTACGGGAGAGCGTTCAATAGCTGGCAAACCCGGATTGGAGATTAATTCTGTCGATCTTCTGTACTTTTTCTCAGCCAATTGAATCAATAGCGCTCCTCTAATCGTTCAACACTATTGACTACTCTCTTTTTGATCTTCTGACTAGCAGAGTCCTCCTTCTTTCATAGTACTGAATTAACACACTTTTTGATTTTGCTGCACTCTACTTTACCGCTCTCCTATCATGTTTTCTGCATCTTGCCGTTAATCTCTTCCCAGCATCACACACTCTTTATCATAACTCCTCTTCATTATCTTCTTCACTGTAGATTCGTATCCCTCTTTACTTTTTCCCCACTTACTTTCGTGACAGCCTGATTCACGGCGTCTGAACCCGTCGTGTTTCGGTTTTCGGATGACAGTTCGACAACAGAGCAAATCTTAACCAATAAACTGGGCTGTTCGGTGGACGGCGGTTTGTGTTTTGACACCGAAATAGCTTATCTTACTCCAACGCATCTCTATACTTGCCTCGGAGTCACCAAACTTTAATCTCTTTGACGACTGTCAACACGTGGCGGTATACATGGCCATGGGAAACGCCCTGGGAATAAAAGCTCCAAATCTGTGTTTACTTATTGGCATATTAATAACGCATTTCTTCCTATCGCATTTAACTAACTACAGCACAGTGGACGACACCTTCAGGGAATCGGAGGACGGCACCTTTTCACGCGATCCATCCTGCCGACCGGATCAAGTGGTGCCCGCTCAACCAGATAGACCAGAACGCTGCCCTGTTCGCTTGTTCGAGACTTATTGTGCCCGGCGACTGCCTAGCGTCAGTTTCCCAAACTCGCCCTTGTACTTACAGCCGGAGCGCACAGCTGTGACTAATTGCCAACTCGCAGGAGCGGAGGCAAAGACCATTTGGTACTCCATAAGTGGACTGGGTAAGAACAAAATCGGTTCAATGCTTAATTTTGCTTTGCAAAGCGTTGGAATGCCAATCAGTGGGCAGGCCAATTTGCATCGTATTTGTGACGTCTTGACCACGCTGGCGCTTACACCTGCCAGTGGTGCTGTTGGATTACGATTGGCTGAGTTGACGGCCTCATGCTGGAAATCGGAGACAACAATGTTACGTGAAGAGCTGGAATCCTGCGCTTATCACATCGTGCGTGAATCCGCTACTCGTGGTTCGCCTATAAACCAGATGCTAACACGATTATGCTCGATCAAAGCTTTCTCCGTCAGACATTCGCGTAGCGCATCGAAAACCTGTCTTGCAGCATTACCTTCGGCAAGTGGTGAGTCAGCCCCTGTGATGATGAGCAGTGCATCGGACCTCATCGTGTCCCGAGGATCAACCACCTGTCGGCCTATTTCTGCGGCTCCATTAAAACCCTCCCACAGGTGAGTCATCTACCGTTTTGTTGCTCCGGTAGTGCCGAAAACTTCAATTGTTATGCTGCTCATGCGTGATTCTCGTTAAACTATCTACTATTACCGATTAACGTCTTCGAGTGTTGACTCATATTTTAGGTTTCTAGACCTTCCATTGATATTATTGCGTTCTTTTACTGTATAAAATCGATGGCTGTCAGATGGGCGGATACCCGTACTTGCAGAGTTATGTCAATTGCGTTTTAGCGTATTCTAAGTGGCAATCATCCACACAGTCTTTTCACGACTGCCCCTTCTATTAGTCCGGTGATCTGGATCATCTTTAGCATGAGTACCCCGAGTAACCTGAGGTTTATTCTCTCATTCACCATCTCGTTACTTCAGATGGGTTGCCTACTCCATAGCTGACCAGCTCCATGGCCGGAATAGGTCTCACATTCCACCATTCCACAGCATAAGCGTGTCATCAATTTGCATACGCTGGGCTGTCTACTGGCTTGCAGTGATTATCTTTTGTATACACATGGTTTTTCTGAATATATGTTCTACGCATTGCACTGTCCGTCACAACGAGACTGGACCTTAACGTGGTGCGACGGTTTGCGTACCTCATTGACCCATTGAGCTATACTGGGTGATGCCTCCAGGTACCTTGAGAGCTACTCCTACCAAGTTGGTCAATAGTTAGAGGTCAGACGAACTCTGTCTCTTGTTCCTCCAGGTTGGGGGTTTGAAACGGGATAGCGTCCATTTCTGTAAAACTAAATCATTGCCACTTCCCCGCTGCCATGCGGACAGGCTTTTGAGCCAAAGGCTTTGAACGAGGACCCTAATCGTCCTCCTGTCTAGGTCTAGGTGTCCTGGCAGTATCTCAGCCCACATACTGTTGTGACGCCCAGTACGCCTTCATCCCACGATCGCAAGAAGAAGTCCAAGATGAGCCGGGATGAACAGATTTTTTTATTACAGCACGGCACCAGTTATATAGCTTTACAAACAAGGGCGAATCCAAGCTACTAAACGCATGAGATCCAACAGGCATGGAGAAAACACAAAATGGAACAAGCAAATGAGAATCGCGAAAATTACGAACCAATGAAGTGCGGCAAAGAAAATAGTGTCTGCGGAGTTAATCCCTGGGGGTAACCTTCTGGTGAGCGACCATTAAAAACGACGAGTAGCGTCCAATCAGTGTGGAGAAGTGATGCGTTTAAACAAATGCCAGAACAGTTGATAGTGAGAATGATACACACCAGGAAAATAAAAACAGGTATAATAAATACGTGTCGGCTGAATAATACATCCACGTAAAAAAGCTAAGGAACGCTGAGCAAAAGAAACCAATCAGAATGTCCACAGAATGAGACGGCTGAAATTAGCTGTGAGCGATTGCGAATGAGGCTGAGGAAAGCGGCGTGTCCAAAATGTAGCAGAGAAGCAGGTAACTGCGCAAACAAAGAAATAGGCAACTAACATAATTCATGAATCTGAGGGTTAAGTATCCAGCTCCCTAACACATACAACCATGCCATTTTCTTCAAACGTAAACTTCATCCTGCATCGGCCGTCGCGCAGATTATCAAGGGTCGCCTTATCTGCTGCATACAGCAGGGCTGATAAGCGAAAACATGCTACTGCTGGCGCCTCCCTTCTTTATTTTCCACCTGTTTCTCTTACTCCCATCCCGACCCCCATTACTAACCTTCCTTCTATAATTCCCAGCTTAATTGACAGCAACCGAAGTGCCACTGGAGTAGAACCGTCTGCAGCCACCATCTCACCGCACCTATCGGACAACTATCGGTAAAAGTCCCTTATAAGGCCACGCTATCCCGTTTCCATATCGACATCCAACGTTCGCACTCTAAGACAAATAGGTCAACAGGCTTCAATCGCACGCACCTTGGACACACTGGGTATTGATGTGTGTTGTGTGTCCGAAGCTAGGATCAATGATCCTAACGGGGTGGTTGAATTAACTGCACCCGGCTTATCCTCTCGTTATTGGTTGCATGCATCCTGAGACGCCGATGCAGCACGCACGGGTCAAGCTGGTCTAGGTATCATTCTCAGCTCCAAGGCTGGGCCATCGTTGGTTGATTGGATTCCGGTGAACAGCCGTTTATGTGCAGCCCGTTTGACGACATCAGCTAAGGTTAATTCACGAAGTAGTACAAAACGCTGTTGGTTTGTGATTTCCACTTATTCTCCCACCGACTACAATTCTAATGCTCTCAAGGATACATTCCATCACGAACTGAACGCGTTACTAGGCAGTGCTACTAGCTCAGAAATTATAGTACTTGCAGGGGATATAAACGCACAAGTAGGGCGCCTGAGCTCTTCAGAAGCTCAGATGGGAGGTAATTGTGGGCGTAACTCTGAACGTACTGACAACGGTGAGCGTCTGCTGCAACTGTGTACGGAGCACTAGTTGTTTCTTAGTAGCACTGCTTTTAGACACAGTGGGCGCCGAAGTGCCATTTGGCGTCCTCCTGTAGCTGGCCAGCGATGGACCCAAATTGACCACATAACCATAAGTTACAGATGGCTTGGTTCCATTCTGGATTGACGCTCATACTGGAGTACCTGTATCGACTGATCATGCCTTGGTACGCTGTCGTTTCTCCATGGACTTTCCCGGGAGGCGCACCAAGCGTTTTCTCAGATTGGCAACGGAGAAATTGTCTCAGTCCTCGGTCAGGCAATCCTATCAAGAAGCAATGTATATCGAACGTCCGCTGTATTGTCCTAATGACACTGAGCTTCAGTGGAATAGGATCTCGGCCGCCATGCACGACGCAGGAGCATCTGCTTGTGGCACTATCCATCGTCACCGCACCAGTCCCTGGATATCCGAGAGGCCATTGAGCCTGTTGGAATCTAGAAGACACCTCCCGGCTGGCTCTGAACACAATGTGACAAGACAGGCTATTAGGCGTGAACTAAAGCAGAGCCTAGATGCTGACAGGGAAGCCTGGTGGACCAGTAGGGCTCAAGAAATAGAGGAGGCAGGAGCAGTAGGCAATTATCGCAAGCTCTTCCAGCTAATCTGCACCACTGGTCCCAGAATACAAGGCGTCAGTGAGACAATCAGAGACAGCGCGGGTGCGCTGATACACAATAAGGAGCGCCGTATGGCTCTTTGGGCTGAACACTTTCAGGATCAGTTCAGCTGGGCCCCTTGCTCCTGGACCTCTTCCTACTTAGGTGATGCAGGACGAGCCATGGACGGTTAGTTTAGAGCCTCTGTCTGAGGCCGAGGTCCGAAACGCGATCACAGCCCTTAATCGTTTTCGTGCCGCTGTCCCGGATTCCCTCCCACCTGCACTATTTAAGGATGGAGGTGAGGTCCTCTGCAAAGCGTTGGCCTCCTTATTCGAATGTATCTGTTCTAACCACAGGGGTATTAGCCTAGCACCAGTTGTGACCAAATTATTGGCCTCGATTATCGTTCGTCGCCTAACTGCGGAACGGGAATCTCGGATTAGGGAAGAGCAGGCTGGTTTCCGCACAGGACGTGGCTGTATAGACCATATATTCACTTTCCGGCAGGTGCTAGAGCAGCGCCACGCATACCACAGACCGACAATAGCTGTGTTCCTCGATTTCAATAGTGCGTTCGATTCAGCCGATCGATCGATCGACTTTGTTCGAAATACTTGCGCGGAAGGGTGTTCCCACGAAATACGTGAACATCCTTCGGGATCTATACTCGAACACTACAGGCCGCGTCAGGGTCTACGGTGTCTTATCGGATAGCTTTCCGACTACAAGTAGCGTTCGTCAGGGTTGTCCGGTTTCCCCATTTTTGTTCAATTTCGTCATGGATTCTATCATGGAGTGTTCCCTTGCGGAATCTCACGATGTAGGCGCTGAAGTGCTGCCTGGTGAAAGGTTAGTTGACCTAGATTATGCGGACGATATCGTCTTGCTTTTCGACGATTTTGCGGCGGCGCAATCAACCCTGAATAGCCTGTCCAGAGTGGTCCCATTATTTGGTGTGCACTTCGCACCTTCAAAGTTCAAAGTGTTGCTGCAGGACCACCAGCCACTTGATGGCCCCTTGACGCTTGCTAACGATGAACCCGAGGTGGTTGATCATTTCACTTATCTTGGCAGCTGCATCAGCAATGATGGGCGCATAGAAACTGACGTCAGCTCACCCATTGCAAAAGCCAGAGTCACCTTCTTGAACCTGCGGCATCTTTGGCGACAGAAGGGAGTTTCCCTCCGTCTGATAGGTGGGGTATACAAGGCCACAGTGAAGGCCGTTCTGCTCTATGGTAGTGAGACTTGGCCCCTTCGGTCTGAAGATCTGAGGCGCCTTCAAGTCTTTGATCATCGTTGTCTGCAAAGCATTGCTGTTGTCGGATGGCACCAGCGTGTCCGCAACGATGATGTGCGTTGGCGATTACTAGGTGGTGATAATCATGCTAGCTCCATAGAACAACAGATAGCACTGAATAAGTTGCGTTGGCTCGGGCACGCGCTGCATACGCCTGGTCACCGCTTACCTAGGAGCGCCTTGTTTAGTCTGCCAGGTGTAGGGTGGCGCAAGGCTCGAGGTGGACAGAAGTTGACTTGGCAGCGGGAAATGAAGTCACTCACAACCAAACTGGGTGCCGTTGGTCCGTCTCGTCCGTCACTCGCCTTGTGCTTGGCTCGAGACTTTACAGGACATGGTTCGCAGTAGACACCAGTGGCGCGTCTGCTGCCGTCTCCTAATTGGATTGCTTGTTTAAAGTGTGTTTGGTGCTGAGTTATCTGCGGGGTAATGGCTGATTATGAGGCGTGGCAGTGAAAGCCGCAAGGAAGCTGTCTCGCCGATGCCGCCTTATCTTTGCACGATAGCCAGCTGTTTGTGACGGTATGTTGTTGACACAAGGTGTAGGCGCCTTGACCCTGAATGTTTGCTTAGGACATTAAGGTTTTCAGGTAAGTCACCGTTTTCTCCCTCTTCTTATTCTTTATTTCATATGTCCTCATGGATGTATGGCTGCGAAGCATCAGTGCAAATGGCTGATGTACTGCCGTTTATGATGATGATGATGATGATGATGATGACGACGACGATGATGATGCTGCTGCTGCTGCTGCTGCTGCTGATGATGATGGTGATGATGATGATGCTGATGCTGATGATTATGCTGCTGGTGCTGCTGCTGCTGATGATGCTGATTATGTTGATTCTGATGCTGATGATCATGCTGCTGCTTCTGCTGCTGCTGCTGATGATGCTGATGATGCTGATGATGTTGTTGATGATGATGATGCTGATGGTGTTGTTGATGATTCTGATGCTGCTGCTGCTGATGATGATGAAGATGATGATGCTGATGCCGATGATGGTGCTGATGATGCTGATGCTGCTGCTGCTGATGATGATGATGGTGATGATGCATTGGATTGTTTCCGGCTGTACGATTTGCTTTGGCTACTGAACATTTGGTGCTTATGTTCGCCACCGATTGATTTCTTCGAAAAATTGCAAACTTCAGCACCCCGTCTTCTGGCTTTGTGGCTAATATTTTTCTCACCTTACAGACAACTAGAAACTTATAGAAATTGGATGTTGCCCGCCCGAAATCACTGTACTCCTATGACGCGTTTCGATGTTATTTCCTCTCAGCAGATAGAGATGGAAGACATCGAACCCGGGACCATTGCGTTGTTAGTTGTGACCGCTACCGGCAAGCCACCGGGTTACGACGGGCAGCGCTTGGCAAAACGGTTAATGATGAATTTTGGGGGTTTTTTGAAGTACACTAGAAGCTTAGTTAATGGCTAACCTGTGGTCGCTTATTCTTCGTCTATTACTCAGTCTGAATTTTATAACTGTTGCGCAAGTTTTATCTTGTAGCCATCTCTTCTTGTTGGCCAAAGGTGACATGTATTGTGCTATACGTCTTTTTTACATCGAACAAGACTTCCGGAGGACATCAAGTCCCACATCACTACAATGGATTCCTCGAATTCTGACCATCCCGACAGTGCTACAAATGGGGCAGTTTTCTCCTCGCACGAAACTGCATGCAGTCCAAAACACGAGTCACCTCTGGATACCTTGAGTAAGCATGTTCACATCAAAGTCCTGTTCTGTTCTTTCTCGACCCCCTTTGTTTTGTCATGCCATTGCATTCACTTTCTCTGTCAGACGATTAGACATTTTAGCCCTGACGTCGTCCCCCACCTGAAATTGTGGCAGTTTGTTCGCAAGTGAAAGACTTCAATAATGATTTTCTTTGTTTTCACCAAAGGTTCACGATGAGTTAACTTGGTTTTTCATATTTGCAACAGTCTCGTTCTTTGGTGTCACTGCACCTCATTGAGTATGTGGATCGATACTGAAAGTCCCTTTAGTTAATTACTGGGACCGATGTGATGTTTGAGTGACACTTGATGTCTACTCGCACTGATGGCACGGCACAGTGACTAGTTCGTCCACTGGTTATCACAACCCCGCAACACCTGCCTAGAAACGGTGTACCGCTCGCGTGTAAAAGCTAGTGACTGAGTGACGGCGGGCAACTCTCTCATTTTGAAACTAAGGTCCTGCTCCACCTTTAGTTTCGTCGACAGCTTTTATCGCCCCGTCCATGTGAAAGGATTCAGCTATTTCTGCCATCTCTTGCAAAAGTTGTCGACTGTTTTCATTGCTCAAGTGGCTCTACTAGCACTTTCAGTAAAGCTGAACAAAGTAAGTCCCATTATTGGCAGTTCAGATATTCAAAGGGGAAGAAGTCGAACGCTTCACGACTCCCATTGATTTGAGGTTGCGTTCAGTTCATACGCTATTCGGCGTCGGCACACTAACACGTGAAGCATGTCAACGACCAACGGATTACCTTGCAGGAGGAATAAAGGAGCTAATTGGTTAGTCAGGAAATGTCTACTTTATCTCATTTCTAGGTTGCGCCCGTCGTGGCTTACCCCACAGTGGGAAATCCTATACTTAACGGTTCTCATCTTGCCGTGTTCTTTCCGTATCGCCCACCAAGCTACTACTCTTATGCGGTTGTCTTTGCCACACATCCAGTGAACACCGTCCACGGTGAACGATGTTGGTAAATCTTCATGTCCTTACTGTGAACTACGCCCATGTGAGTGTGGATATTTAAGCCAGCGGCGAACTTTCTATCTGATTATTGTCATCGGATTAAATATATATATATATATATATATATATATATATATATATATATATATATATATATATATAAACACTGCACAATAGCTAATCCGTCCAATGTACTACGGGAGACTACCTCAATCATCGCCTATGCCTGAAGTGAACGACAATCACGCTCCTGTCATGACATTAGAAGGACCTGCACCACCTCTTTCTGCTTGCATAATCCAGGCTACGTTAGCTTTATCACAAGGGATTCGGCCGTCGCTTAGTAGGCGTTGAGTCCTTTGAAGACGGCCATGACAAAATTCGCTACTGGCTTCGGACTATATATCAACGTAGAGCGGTTAATAATTTAAGCCCTTCGCTTCAACATTGCTGCTGGGCAGTGTTCTTCTTATCCACTCTACCAACGCCCTGGTGGAAATAAATTAGCACAGAATATAGTTATTGGTTGGACCGGGAGTCTATCCTTGGGACGCCGGATAATAAAGGGGCAGTTTCGTCAGCAATTTGTGGGTAGGCAGCTTGGAGCCATTCGGCTTTTACATTCGACTGTCTCTTGCTCAGTAGCGCACTCACGTTCGTTTCATCTCGGTCACAAACCATAAAGCGTCTTCTGGTGAAAGCGGCGGGTTAACTGTTATGTTACAATGTCCTTGGAGCGTTGTCTTTTTTCTTCTTCGAATGTTTCCGGGTTACAACTTTTAGTGACAAGATTATTCCGTCGACGAACCGAATTCTACATGTACTTTGAAGTTACAAAGCTACGAAGTTCGTGCTTTGGCTTATGTAAATGGTTTTTTTCTAAGTGTTTCTGTGAAATGCACTAGCGTCCTTCCTGCATGTTCGCAGGCCTAGGAAGGCTGCTTTTGTTTTCAATTAACCCGTGACCTTCACTGAAGCGTATGAGATATTGAACTGATCTATCAGACTAGCGGCGTCAGGCTCCAACTCAGACGTTCCGTTAGAATTTGTTTTAAACATCGGCTTTCGATCACCCGAAGTGTTTAAATTGTGTGGTCAGGTAATCGTTCATTTGTTCCGTGGACGTGTGCTGCTTCTCTGGACAGTCCTTATGGCATATTGGCCAATACTACATGACTTAACTTCTCGAGCCTAGTTACCAGAAGTGTGCATGTGGTGCATCTTCGCGTAAACTGTTTGACAATACTGTGGAGAAATGAATGAATTTATAGTCACCTCAACCATCGTCTAATGTCACCAGCAGTGTCTCCGCGCCCTACGCAGCCTGTTATCTTTCTTGCACTTCTTTGCCACCCTGTTCATCGCCGCTACCCCGTCATGTTGATCACAGAACATAGTATCTGTTTTACATTGGTGCTATCATTACCAACTTCCGGGTTTACAGATGCCGAAACTCAACGTCTCTTGACCCAGATGTTCCAGGACACACATCACGTGACTCCTACCCATTTGTTACGCGATTCAGTCTACCGTTTCAGCAAACCAGCGCGCCTGACCGAACCGACTGAAGTTGTTGCCCACAGGGATCCAGATGTGGTCCACAGCCCGAGTGATTTCCCACCGGCCTTGGTTGTCGTTTCATCGATGTCAAGTGAGAACCATGTTCATTATCCACAGTGCTCTACGGAAACGAGAGTGTCGAACTCTACTGCATTGGACGTCCAACTGGATGGAAATTTGATAGATATTTGTAAGTGGCACCACTCACCTTTCTATTTGCATTCTCTCCCTTGCAAATTACTGGTATCCTTTGGCATGCGTTTTACATGAGGCCCAGCGACATCGGTCCGTTGGAGTCGACTAAATATTGGTGTTTGGTCGGAGGCATTTCAGGTATAAACAAATGACCCGTCTAAGTAAACCGTGTGAATCTCATCAGCTATCAACAACGATAAACTAACAGATTGATAGGCGCATGTTTTGCCAGTCGCAACGACCAGCTTGCACATTTGAGGCGGCGTTTATCGATTGTTCGGTTCGTTTCCCGCGAAATTCCGGGCGGTGTCCCTTCTTCCTGTCGATAACCATCGTACAGTCAGTTTATCGCTTCGTGTTTATGCGAAGTACGATATCTTGATTTAGATGAACATTTTATCCCCATATCTTTAGACCAGATAATTTCCCTTTAATTGTGTTTGAATTTTACCCGTAGGACTGTGGCCACAGACTACTACTTCCGGCTTTCGGCAAGCTGGAACATCGGATGTGGAATTAACATCACCATCAATACACGTTAGCTGAGGGTGAGAAAGAGACCACAGCTAATGTGCCCCAATGCAAAAACATAAGATATAAAAATTACACTACAAAATTTCAAAAAAGTGCTATAATGTTAAATATCATATTGTTCATTTGCTATGTGATTGTAATTGGAGTAAGAATTTAAAGGAGTGGGGATAGACAAAGAAACTCACAACACAAACACCCTTGAGTTCGGTGTTTCGCCATATCAGCAAGTGTGTCCAACTAAACGTGTTCATCGTCCTTGGGACGTGTCATCACCCACGGAGACATCATGCAGCATATCACCTCGACGGGGTCGTCACCGTTGCTTTGATCCAGTGTGGATGACCTGCCCGATAGTCGCGAGCGTATATCGGGGCTCCAACGGCGAATTCATTGTGCTTGGTGCAGGCAGCAGATTGACTTGGTGGCTTTTCGGTCGGGATGAGCGCTTCGTTTGTGGTGAGTAGTTTGCGGCCCATCAATGCTTCAGCTGAGCACTGGTATCCTGAAGTGGTTGGATTTAGTGTGGACCGATAAGAGAGCAGGGACGCCTGAAGGCATTCATCCACGGTCCCCTCCCCACGAGATTTCAAGAGTGCCCTCTTGAAGGTGTCAACAAACCTCTCCAATTGACCATTGGACTGGGGATGGTAGGGCAGTGGGCGTATGTGTTGGATGCAATGCCGGCGACAAAAGTCTTCAAACATGGACGACATAAACTGGGAGCCATTGTCGGACACCGAAACTTTGGGAAGGTCATGTTGACTGAAGATTCGTTGTAGACAACCCAGCGTGGCGGATGCGGTTGGTAGGTTGACGACGACCGCTTCAGGCCATTTGGAGTAAGCGTCGACCATGGCCAGATAGGAGGTTCCATCGATCGGACCAGCATAGTCGATGTGCACTCGAGACCACAGTTTTTCTGTCGGTTGCCAAGGAACTGGTGGTTGGTGTGGTGGCATCTTAGATGCTTGTTGACCCACCTGAAACATGGGGGCGGACTGTCTGATGGTGTCGTTGGTTTGGTCGCTTGGTACTGCCAGAGAATGTACCGCGTTGTAGATGGCCCGAAGAGAAAGATCGGCCAAACCAAGTGTTTCGAGCCGGTCGAGACCAAGTAGGTTGAGCTTCGCCTTCGTGATGTAGCATATCACGTTGAATGTGGCGCCTCGGAAGGACGGAGCAGTGCAGCTGCCCGGTTAGCTGCATGCCATCACCACAGGCGCTGGTGGCTGATTGGGAGGTCGGTTCAAATGGTGGCTTGCCAAGGGATCGCCAGAGATCCCTGGAAATGATCGTGATGTCCGACGCAGTGTCCAACTGCAATCGGACAGACTGACCGTTGACTAAGACGTCGACGAATTTTCTACGATCCGCAGCGTTGACTTCGAACGTGGTCAGCCTGCTCAGGGAGCTGTCAACCGGGTCACGTTTGGGTTTGTGTCTGGGTGGGGACCTCTTCTTTGGATCGCGGGTGGGGGCCCGCCCAGTTTTGGCCCCCTTGGGAGTTCTAGGATGGCAGTAATCACCTCGTTACCCCACCCTGCCACAACTTTGGCACCGGTGCTGTCGGAAATTGCAGTCCCGGTGGAAATGCCAGACACCACAGAATCGGCATGGATAGGGTGAGGACTTCGTTCGGTCGGATTGGATGGGGCGCACGGACGATTGCGCCGTAGGTGCTGCGACTTCCTCGACCATACCAGGCGCGGCGGCGTTCTGGATCATGGCAGACTCGTGCTTCAGGTTCAGCAGCGTTTGCTACTCCTTGGCCAGGTTCTGGAGTGTGGCAGTAGTGTCTGATTTAGATTGGATAGGAGGCGCGTCCGGATATCGGCATCGTGTGCAGACTGGAGACCTTAGACGAATATCAGGCATTTGAATTGCTCATCTGTGAGTGAACCAAGTTGAAAGCGCTCGCATTCACGGTTGACCACGCCCGCGTATGTGCTGAAGTCGTCGGAATCATCCTTGACCAGCTGCAGACAATGATAACCGCCATTGAAAAGGGAGGATTGCTTGTAAAATTCTGGGACAAGGTTCGGACCGTCCTGTTGAAAGTAACGTCTCGTGGGTTCTTCGGCAAGATGAAATTGGTATAGCGTTGGTGTTCGAGCGTACCCAGTTTGCGCAGAAGCAGCCGGACCTTCCACGCGTCATCCTGGCAGGCCAGGTCAACGGTGAACAGGTCCTCGTACCGCTTATACCAAGAATCGAACGTTACTCCAGCCTTGGCGTCGTACAGGAATTCACTGATGCCGATAACGACATGGTCCACCTATTGAGAATTGCTAATCGGATCTGCGTAAAGGGAAGAACTGGAAAGTTTGTCGGTTAGCACTGACATCAATTTGTGTTGCTGCTACAGCATAGGTTTCAAGTCAGCGTACTCCTTCGTCATGGTTCGAAAGCTGTGCCATCGCCACTGTAATCGATTTGTGCAGCCTGGTCGCGTTAGCCTAGATGAGGGTAACGCGAAACATGAGTACGGACCCTATTCACACGCGTATTCGGGTGACACGCTGAATCTTCGAAAACGGACAACGATACCTACACGACCATGAACTTAGATGCGCGAGACTTAGACGAACGCGGAACACGCGGCTAGAGCTGCGCACACGATCACGTGACCACGCGATTCCAAACCGCTCGCAAGAGGAGACAAAAGAAGACGAAGCGGACCTCTGGGGCTGTTTTACGACCCACAAAGGCCAAATCACCGTTGGAACGATACTTCATTTTGTGGGTGAAATGAATCACCACGTAGGGCTGGTGGTTTACGAAAGAACATTGTTCACTTTAGCCCAGTTGTGCCCCGACTCCGAGTGGCTGGATCCTGCTACGTTGTGAGCAAGATTGGAACTGCGTCTCGCAGCCCACGCACTGGACTTTGTGGCGCATTTCGCGGCGTTATTTGACGTGCCCGCAACAGAATTTGTTATAACTCCCGCTTAGTAGTAAGAAGACAGGATTGACACTGCTTGAAAACCTTTACTTGCACAACCGATATTACAACCAACTGTCAAGGAAAGCCGTTAACTACACACTTGGTCGAAACCAATCGATGCTCACGTGCCATGTGGTTGACTGAAAGTTTCAAGCTAACATACAAACACACGCGCTGGAATCGATCGATTTTCACGTGCAGCCTGTGTGGCTGACATACGTGATCTCTCTAACAGAATCGAAAGCCGCTCGGATATCCAAGAACACTACGATTGTTGGCTGTCTGTGGACGTGACGGAGTTCAAGCAGTTGGCGAAGTGTGAAGATGTGGTCTATGCAACCTAGACCTAGACGGAAACCCGCTTGTTTCTCTCGGTAAACGCCTTCTCTAGTCGCTGCGAGCCTGCGGAGTAGAACAGACAATAAAATCTTGGTGGCAACAGTGATCAACAAAATTCTGCGGTAAATTGGCACAGTCTTCGCGGGAGCCTTTCTTATGAATCGGGAGAATAACCGACTCTCTCCATTCAATTGAAACTTTTTCGTCAGTCCAAATTCTCGTGGAGTGATAGCATTTTATTGACAAGTGCGTTCCCGCCATCTTTGAATGGAGCCGGGGTTAGGTTGTCGGGACCGGGAGCTTTATGACGCTTCGAAGATTGAATTGCGCTTCGGATCACTGTTTCGGTAAGAGCATCTGTGGCGATAGGCCAAGTACCTTCCGAGGAAAACGGAGGTGTCATAGTGGGCTGTGCTAGGCAGTTAAATTGGAAAGCAAAGTGCTCTGCCGAGCGACCCAAGCGCCTGTGCAGGCTGGTGATTTTCGTGCCGTCTGACTCACAAATCGTCTGACTGACAGCGTGTGAATTGCAGCGAGTGGGCTTGGTGAGTTAAAACAAACTGAGGAAGTTTCCAACAGCTCGTTTTGACCACCAAGATTCACAGTCAGAGCGAACGCTTGATTTCAGCTTTTGAGAGATAGACCGACGAAGTTCATTGTGCTCCGTACCGGCGGGCACAGCCCGTCGACGATCTAGCAGTTTCGAAGGCCTTACCAAAACCCAGCTTCTGGTTGTGCAGCGGGTGAGTCCGCAGCTGGACAAGCCGGCGGACAGTATTACTTTTTACAAATTTGACCAGTGTTTATTAACATCCAAAGTATATATATATATATATATATATATATATATATATATATATATATATATATATATATATATATATATGCCCCATGCTGAGGCTGATGTTGCATTCTTGATGCTTCTTCACCGCAGTTGGGCTAAACCAACTTGCACTTAAACTAGGTCTTTTTAAGCTGGATAAATTTCATTCCGCTTTACTTGGTTTGTTCTGCCTCCCTGAATAATGTTCTATTAACTGGACACGTTGCTTACACTAATTGCGCTTATCTTCGGTAATTTTGTTGCGTTTGTAGCATTTTAAGTAACTTGTGGACATTTCTTACTTATCACGGATTTGTTGCTGACCAACTTACTTCAGATGCTAATTTAGCGAAGA